CTTCTCCGGCCGCCGGTGGCTGCGCCAAGCGATGGAGTGGTCGGGGAGCATCTCCCGCAGCCTCGGCAAGGGCGCATCGCCGCATGCAGGTACGTGTTCGTCCTCCCGCCGCCGCCGACGGTTTGCGGGCATGGATTCGTCCGGCCGTCCACCGGGCTCGGCGCTCGCACATTGGCTTTGTGGCTCGCCGATGCCGCTCATACAGTGTGACGACTGCACGTGGACAGTGTTGTGGCTAACCTCGGGCACGCCGAAGCACCCCGGATGGGTGTTCTTCAAATGTGAAAACGACGGGGTACGTGCACTTGCGGTAGTTTATTTTGATAGCTCTTTAGTTCAATTGCGATAGCTCATTTCTTCGAACATGCTCATTCTTTTGTGTAGGAAGATGGATGCTCATTTTGGTTTTGGGAAGGCGAATACATTGATTTATTGATAGAAAGAAACTTAATAGATGTTGGTGCACTCCTTAGTAGAATCGAAGGCAATGATGCGGCTGCATGTGCAACTAGAGGGGAAGCAACGTCTACTTCTTTCGAACCAAAGATGAAGAAAGAAGAATGCAAAATCAAGAATCCGCAGATAAACAATGAATGCATGGAGAAGATATTAGTCCAACTTGTGGGAGCAGTTATGGAAGTCGGAAATCTTCTAAAATGCATACTTGTGGTTCTTGTTTTCTTTGGTCTTGCTATTCTAGCAAAGATTTGGTGATGTCTATGTATCCAATGTTGTTGAAAAAGCAAAGAAATGCATTATGCTAGATCAAATTAAGATGCAAATTTAGTTTTTTCGGGCCGGGAGGAGTTACGCCAGATCAGACCCCGCAAAGCCGACCCGTAAAAAAGCATATTCCGCGAATATACCTTTTTACGGGTCCATTATGCGGGGTTTGCAACTGCGGCCGTCCGCTTCGGCCTGCAAAGGCGTTTTTCCGCGAACTGCAAACACGTTTTGCGAGCCGGACAGATGCGGGGTCTGCTAGAGTTGCTCTAAGTCTACTCGCTAGCTTCATTTTATTCAGTTAAGGTCTTATAAATTTGTATGGCGATGGCCATGCTTGAAGGTGACATAATATGCCTATTAAGACCCGAAGATATAAAAAAACTGGCGCCTTGGTGGGTTAGGTGCATGCAACTGTGCACCTCTAGCTAACTGTCCAACTCCCAGTTTATGAAACCCAAATCATATAGTATTATTTCATGGAAATACGATATATTCCTACAGTCTTCTACTCCCTCCGTTCCGAATTACTCGTCATAGAAATGGATGTATCTAGATGTATTTTAGTTCTAGATACATCCACTTCTGCGACGAATAATTTGGAACGGAGGGAGTACTAATCATTTGCTGGTTAGCAGGGCAGTAAGCACTGAATGATGAATTAGTTAAAAAATCATGATTGTGGTTCTAAGATTTGTTCTTTTCAGAAGTAGCTGCTGTATAATGTTGACATTCGCATCTTAGAATTGCACAATTTGTTTCGATTTGCATGATTATATGACACATGCTGTGAACTGCACAAGTGTTTTTTTGTGTGTGTAGTGGATGATTAACAGCGAGAGAAGTTTATACTGAATAACCATTTTATCTACAGCTGCTGGTCCCGGAAAATGCTTGATAAACCATGGTGGGTGCTGGCATGAAACTCGCAACGGAAAAACATTCTCTGCTTGTCAGGTACATTTAGGCACGTAACAAGTACATGTAATTGTTAGGAATATGCAATTTGTATTCCCATGGGGCCATAGACCAGTATATATACATGTGCAGGAAATATGCAGAAAACCCCTTATACAATGGGGTAAATGCAAAAGGCTACATGGCTATATATATAGTACTCAACACCCCTCCTCAAACTCATGGTGGATCAACAACACCCCTCTAGTCTGGGCCTTCGCAAGAAATCCGCTAATTTAACTTGGAAGGCACATACTGAAGAGCAATAACCTGATCCTGCACACCAGCGCACACAAAAAGGCATGAACACCAATATGCTTGGTGAGCTCATGCTTCACAAGGTCACGCGCAATTCTAATAGCACTAGTACTGTCAAACAATAGCAGAGCAGGTGTAGTGACAGAAACACCAAACTCCTGAAGTAACCACCATAACCAAGTCAGCTCTGCTGTCAAAAGAGCCATAGCTCGCAACTCAGCCTCTACACTCAAATAGGAAATTGTAATCCCTTTCTCCATCTTCCATCTCCATCTTCCAAGCAATGAGAGAACCACCAAGAAAAACACAGTAAGCAGAAACTGAATGGCGATTTGAGGGATCATAGCCCACGCAGCATCTGAATAGGCCTGAAGCTGTAATGAACTGGAGCGAGGGAAGAACAGACGGTGAGAGATCGTGCCATGAGGATATCGGAGAACACAAAGGAGGTGACTATAGTGGACTGAAGTGGGAGCAGAAACAAACCGACTCAAAATATGGACTGGATAAGAGATACCCGAACGAGTGACAACTAGATAGACAAGACTCCCAACAAGATGAGATAACGTTTCACGGATCAGACAAGGGGTTACCATTAGTATCACGGAGGTGAACATTGAGCTCCATGGGAGTCTCAACTTGCTCATCAGTAAGAGCAGCACAAGCAAGAAGATCCTGGCTATACTTTTCTTGAGAACGAAAAAAGCCATGAGAGGTAGAAGAGATCTTGATCCCAAGAAAGTTGCGAAGAGGGCCAAGATCAAACATAAGAAACTGCTCACTAAGACGCCTTTCACAAAGGCAATATACTCGGGGTTGTCGCCAGTGATGATCTTGTCGTTAACATATAGAAAAGTTCGACCATGAGCATAATGGTGAACAAACAACGCTAGATCATGAGCACTCGCTGAAAAACCAGCGGCAGTCACCACAGAGCAAAACGCTCAAACCAAGCGCGAGGGGCTTGCTTAGGGCCATAGAGAGAATGACGAAGACGATATGCCATTCCATCAAGAACAAAATGCACAGGTGGTGGCTGCATATAAACCTTCTCACGCAGCTCAGGGCAACTCGAATGCACGACCCCAAATGGTCTGGCCAAGTTCGTTTGGGAGTAAACAGACACAAAACGCGGCCACGCGCGGGTGTAAACGGACGAACGTCCGTTTTTCGTTCGCTTTTGACCCATTCCCCGCCCAACTTTGGGCCACGTTTGCATCCAAACAGACACACGCCCTTGTCCCCCCTGTCCCGCTCGTTGGGGACACAACCAATTTTTCTCTTTCCCTGCCCTCCCTCCGCCCTCCAGCCCCCGCCCCTAGCATCGCCGCCGCCACCCCGTCTATACCCCCATTTTCCCGGCCTCGTCGCCGTCCTGCAAGGCCGTCTGAACCACGACCCGTGCTATAGCCGGCCTACGCTCGCGTTTCGGAGGAGCTTTTTGCCGGCGTTCGTTGTTCTTTGTTGCTGGTGGGAGAGAAGCTACGGCCGCCGATGCCGCCCATCGACCCCAAGAACTTTCGGCAGGCGCTGCATAGCCGGAGGGCGCCACCCGCCAACACCAACCTTGCTTTGCTGCTTGCGAGGGGAGCTCAACGTGCTCTTTTTGGCCGCGTCTCCATGACCGCAAGGTGTTCGACGCTTTGCTCACAAGGTACCATGGATAGCGGGGATGAGTATTTCTTTCACAACTTCATTTGTTCATCGGATGATTCGTCCTCGGATGACGAAGAGCTTGTGGTGGATGCATTGGTCGTCCATGACCACATTGGTAGGCAGCGGCCTCGGTTCAGGGGATCAATCCCGGGGCATGCTCCGGCCTTGAACCGCAATAGGGAGAGCGGCCACGCCCCACTCTATGCCGATTACTTTGAGAATACCGCACTCTTCAAACCACATCAATTTCATCGCCGCTTCCGAATGAGACATGTGTTGAATCGTATTCGGGAGGGAGTGGTAGGATATGACCCATACTTTGAGTGCAAAGAGGATGCCCTTGGCAAGCTTGGCTTCTCTTCTTGCCAGAAATGGACTGCGGCTATTCGCATGCTTGCATATGGAATTTCTGGTGATCTTGTGGATGAGTACGTGCGTATGAGTAAGTCCACATGTCTCCTCTCAATGTATAGTTCCTGCAAGGCCGTGGTGGCAGTGTTCTGCCCTGAGTACCTGAGAGAGCCAACTGCCGTTGATACAGGGAGGTTGTTGGCGATCAATGCTGAGAGGGGCTTTCCGGGCATGCTTGGTAGTATAGATTGTATGCACTAGAAGTGGAAGAACTGTCCATTTGCTTGGCAGGGGAAGTACAAGGGGCATGTGAAAGGTGTCACTGTCGTACTAGAAGCGGTGGCTTCACAAGATCTGTGGATATGACATTCTTTCTTTGGCATGGTTGGTTCTCACAATGATATCAACGTGCTTCAACGTTCTCTAGTGTTTGCAAGGCTTGCATAAGACCACTCCCCAGAGGTCAACTTTGAGATCAATGGCCACCATTACAACAAGGGATATTACCTAGCTGATGGTATCTATCTTCAGTGGTCAACTCTTGTGAAGACCATACCCAATCCGCAAGGAGAGAAGAGACAGAGATTTTCCCAAATGCAGGAAAGTGCTAGGAAGGATGTGGAGTGTGCTTTTGGTGTGCTTCAATCTCGATGGGGTATAGTTCGAAACCCTGCATTGACATGGAGCACTCAAAAGCTTTGGGAGGTGATGACTGCTTGTGTGATCATGCACAACATGATCGTGGAGGATGAGCGTGGTGATAGCACAAGATGAGCTTTGTAACGAGAACCATCAAAGTGAGTCTTAACCTTGTAGACCCACTAACAAGTGATGGGGCGGACAAGTGGAGGAAGAGAAACAAGATCCTATGTGCCGGTGCGCTCAAGAGCAGCCAGCTCCTTTGCTATCGCCAGATGCCATTCGGGATGAACAACAACTTCACGATAAGAAGTCGAGCGCCAGTGCGTGGAAAACCAAGGCGATCCATAGGCGGAAGCAAACGAGGATGCAAGCCATAGGTAGGCTGAGATGAGGAAGACTGCACATTAGAAGTAGATGACACATCATTAGATGCATCCATACACGCAGACGACGAGTATAAAAGTGAGGAAGCGATGGAAGAATGCGAGGAGAATCACCAGGGTAAACTCGGGTGATGGAGACGGAGAAGTCGCTGGGGATGAAGGTGTAGAATCCTGTGACAAGCGAGGTGAGGAAACCATGGGAGATGACGATGTCGGATCTGCAATAGTTGTAGAAGTAGGGGCAGCATGACGGATGGACAAGGGCTCAACGGAAGTGATAGGTGTGTCAAGAAGTGAGGAAAGAGATATCATCCACTGAAAAGGTCAAGGAAGATGGACACAGGTAGAAGGGACGAGACTCATCAAAAGTCACATCCCGAGAAACACGCATCCAAACAATAGCCTAAAAAGGCACAGTTGACAGACTGAGCGGTCAGTTTGGTGCGTTCACGAGGGGCAAGAGCATAGCAAACACAACCAAACAAACGAAGCGTCGAATAATCGGGAGAACAATCAAAAAGTCACTCGAAAGGAATGCCACCCTGCAAAGCAGTGGATGGCTGAAGATTGATGAGATAGGTGGAAGTGGAGACAACCTCAGCCCAAAAGTGAGGCGGAAGAGAGGCGGCGGTCATCAATGCACGGGCCTCTCAACCACACCATTTTGAGCATGAGCACCAAGAGAATTGAGCAAGAGTACCCTGCTCAACAAGGACTCCATGCAACAACTTGGAGATATTCTCTCCAGTAGAGTCAGCATGGAACACATGGATAGGCGTGGAGGACTGAGTGTGAACCATGAGATAAGACCTCACTACGAGAAAACATAAAATATATTCAAGTGTGTTGAGAGAAGTCATCTATAAAGATAATACAGTAGTGATGACCTCCTTTTGAGGCAAAGGGAGCTGGACCCTAAACATCAGAGTGAACAATGTCGAAAGGACGCTGAGATAGAGTCTCGCTATGAGGATAAGGTAATTGGACCTGTTTACCAAGCCGACAACCCTAGCCGACAACCCTGACAGTCTAAAGACACACTACCGGAGATGGATCCAAGAAGACCACGTCGAACTAATGATGGAAGACGAGAGCCACACAAGTGACCAAGGTGATGATGCCACTACTGGAAAGAGCTGGTAGACAAGGCAACTGAAGCGGAAAGACTGGCGATGATGGCAGGGGAGGGAAGGTGAAGCCAGTCAAGCTCCTAGAGATCCTAAGTCACGATGTCTAGGGCCAGCACCAAGTAGAGCACCGGTGTGACGATCCAAAACTGAACATGAGTCAAAGTCGAGAATGACCCTACAACTAGAGTCAACAATCTGACCACCAGAAATGAGCTGCATGGTAAGTCGAGGAACATGATGAACATGAAAAGCCGAAGTGTTAAGAATGCCTCGGCCATTAACCGGGAGGGAGGTACCATCAACAGTAAGAACATGAACAGGAGAAGCAAGAGGTCGAATAGAGGACAAAGTGGATGAATCATGAGTCATATGAAAAGATGCTCCGGTATCAAGAATCCATGGAGATGTACCTGCCTGTGTAGAAGGTGGTCCCACAATGCCAAATAGTCGGTAGCAAAAACCAGTTGGTGAAGAAGCAGAGGATGTGGCTAGCAAGCATCGAAGTCGTGTAATCTCCTGCTCAGTCAGGGGCTCAATTGAAGAGGTAGACACAGATGCACCCGACAAGGAAGTGCCGGAGGCAATAAGCAAGTCATAAAGTCACAAAATTTCCTGCTCAGTGAAGGACACAGCTGGAGTAGTTTTTTCTTTTACCATGGACACAACTGGAGCAGCTAACATAGCAGCATCGAAAAAGGAGCGGCCACCACCAGCTGTGGAAGCTGCTAGAGGCGATGTAGCATGACCAATATCATCTGCAGAGGCCGGTGGTGGAGACAAGGTCACATGCAGACAATCACCATGCGTCGAGGGAAGGCGCGTGTGCGAGGCGTAGTCGATGGAGCCATATGCATCAGCACTATCGGTGAAAGTCGCGAGAGGAGCCGGTGTAGAGTGACAATCACCGGTGGAAGTAGTGAGAGGAGTTGGTGTAGAGTGACAATCACCATATGCGGAGGTCTTGAGAGAAGTTGTTGTAAATCGACCAGCACAGCCTGCGTAAGACGCCGAAGGGATGACATCACAGGCGGAAGAGCACCAAGCACCGAGGAAAAGCGCATGTGCGAGATTTGGTTAGTGTAGGGAACACCCTTGAACATCACAGAAGGACAAGCCGGAGGCACCTTTTTTTTCTCTTCTTTTTTTTACAAGAGGACAATCAGCCGCATCAGCCCCAATAGAAGTGGCCGGCGGCTTGATTCAATAGAAGGCGCAGCCAGCAGTGCCTTTGACCGGCAGGCAGGACTGGAGCTAGCAAATCAGCAGCCGCTGATTGCTGGGTGCAGGAGGCCAGCGATCGTCACGGCTCTGGCAGGTCGCGGCTGTGGCCTAAGGCTGATGGCGACTTGGACGGGATCCAGCAGCCATTGACCTGAACGGCTGCACCCTACGGACCGGAGCAGGAGGCAGGACCGAGCAGCTTGATGTGAAGGTGCGGGCAGCACTCCAGCGGTGGACGGGTGGGATGAAAGCAGCCGGCCTGGGGCGTTGATCTGCAGGGGGCGGGGCAGAGAGGCGTTGGAGGCAGACGGGAGAGAGGCGAGCGGGGCAAGAAGCAGTAGCGGACATGGGAAATCTGGCGGCAACGGGAGAATAGAGAAAACAACAGCCGCCAGAGGATGGCGGCGACGCGGCAGTGGATCAATAGCACAAGTTGCAGCGTGCGAAAAAGTTGACCTAGCTGTAATACCATGTTAGGAATATGTAACTTGTATTCCCATGGGGTCATAGGCCAGTATATATACATGTACAGGTGCAGGAAATATGCAGAAAACCCCCTATACAACGGGGTAAATACAAAAGCCTACATGGCTATATATATATATATAGTGTTACTATTCATCACCCAGGGTGCAGAATAAGTTATTCTTCACCCGAGGTAATCTTACGATCATTTCATAATTAAATTACGTTTCGAATTCAAATAGTTACATTCCTATTGATTAATTACGTAAAATTTGACATAAAAATTAAAAATATAGGTCATAAGATAAGAAAATTTGCAGTTTATGTGTATTTTAGACTATGTTTTTACGTTTGTAATTTTACATAACATAAAATATTTTTTACGGCGATTATATATTTTCTTACGGTCCCTTTTTGCGTCGGAAATAAGACAAAACTTACGGAACGTAAAATTACGGTGCATTGATAGTAAAATAGAGGAGGATATATATATATATATATATAGAGAGAGAGTATACTCTAACAGTAATAACTTCTACAGTTCTACTTGACTCTGATAAGTATTCGCGTACCCAAATTTTATTTTACAGGAATCAGGAGATCAAAATTGCAAGTGTCCAGCTGGTTTCCGAGGGGACGGTGTTAAAAAATGTGATGGTACTCGTTAGCCTTACCCCCCATTCCACACCACCCACCCGATCACACACACACAAAAATTAGGAAATTACCACTGACCTGCATCTCAGAATAAGTGATGTTCTACCAATGGTCCTGTACTGCACTGATCGTCTTTTCGCTCTGAATTTTATTCTCTAGATAATCTCTCTTCTCTCTCACACATACAAATGATTCTCTTTTTTCTATAACAAAACGAGATCTTTCTTGCAGATGCAAATGACTTCACACATACTTGGAATATGGACAATTGTCATGAATATCTTTCCGATTAACAATTTTTCTGCAAAAACGTTATATATTTTGTGACAAAAGGCAGTAAAAAATTAGTGCAATGCAGCAGGTACAATAGTTCTTAAACTGTAGCTTACTTGTCATTTACCTTTGCAGATATTGACGAGTGCAAGGAGAGAAAAGCTTGCCAGTGTCCTGAATGCAGCTGCAGAGATACATGGGGTGGCTATGATTGTACTTGTAGTGGCGACCTTTTGTACATCAAGGAGCACGACACTTGCATAAGTAATTTTAGACTTTGATTATGTAACAAATATCTATCATTTTTTGTACATATCACTTAATCTTGTATGGTTAATCTGTAGGTAAGACAACAGTTCAGGCTAAAGCAGCATGGGCTGCTGTGTGGGGGATCTTGGTAGCCTTGGTTATTGTGGCGGCAGGAAGCTATGTGGTATACAAATACAGATTAAGGGTAAGCTAGCTGGTGCAGAATATTATCTTCATTCATGTAGTTTTTATTTGTAAACCTAGTGTATATGTGGATTGCCTGGCCCTTTCCATCAGTTCGGACTTTTGGTTGCGTTGGCTAGTGCATGAAGCTTAACATATTATGGGAGCCTAAGGTCTTAGAGTTCAAGTCCTAGTTGGCTAGTGCATGAAGCTTAACATGGTATTAGGGCCTAAGGTCTTGAGTTCAAGTTTCGGATTTCACAATACATCCAAAAATTGATGCTGCCCCCCTCTATGTCCACGTATAGGCCTCTTGAGCCATACCTCTTGAGTCTATTCACGTGTTAACTTCCCACGTCACACGTGAGAGGGGGTATTGAAGTGTGTATGTGGATTGCCTATCCCTTTCCATCAGTTCGGACTTTTGGTTGCGTTGGCTAGTGCATGAAGCGTAACAAGCCGTATTCTTGGTGGAGACCGGATCAGGTCTGGAGAGACTAGAGTTGACAAACTTTGGAGTCTTCGGGTTTCCGATTCCGGTTTCGCGAATTACTCCTTCATCTTCCTCGTCTTCTCACTCCTCGTCTTGGACTTGGTCTTCCTTCCTCGTGCTTCCACGGTGGTCGTCAACAAACCTAATCACACATAGGATTCCACTTTGAGGTAGTAGCCAAGTCTCATTCAAGGTATATGGAGCTCAAAGAGGAGTGAAGTCACCTCAGTTTAGATGGCTCGTGCACGTGTCCTTGTCATGAGTCCACTTGGGCTTGCCGGTGTGCCCATGGTGATGTAGGTGGCTGTTGCGCTTGCTTGGACCAAATGTGAAACAGAGTTCGGAGGACTTGGGATTCACAATCCTCAGTTCCTGAATGAGGCACATAGGATCAGATGGAGCTGGCGGGGTTGCGTCGGGGAGCCGAGGGTGTGGTCAGGACTGCAAGTGCCGATTAGCAAAGAGCAACAACCCTCTTCTTGGCGGCTACCAATGCATGGTGGACATAGGAGACAGATCACAGTTTTGGCACGAGCAGTATTAATGGGCGAAGTGCCCATGACATTGCACCAACACTGTTCTCCTTTGCTAAAGCGTGTGGTGCGACAAGAAGATCAGTGGCCGAGGCTTTGGCTAATCACAGGTAAATCATGGATATTAGGGTACAACTCCGGATGCAAGTGATAGCAGAATACTTTGAAATATGGAGGGAAATCCAGGACATGCTTTTGCTCTCAGATGTGGATGATTACTTTGAGTGGAGGCTCACTGTCAACAGGAAGTACTCAGCCAGCTCTGCATATGAGGCTTTTTCTTTGTCTTTGAGCAAGTGGACAATACCAGGAACCTGTAGAGAAACATTGTGCAGCCAAACGAAAAGTTCTACGTTTGCTTGGTGCTTAGGAATCGATGCTGGATGGCTGACTGTTTGGAGTGGCAGGCCCTACCAAGTCCCCTGGTGTGCCCTATCTGCAATCAGGCGCCAGAAACGATTGACCATCTTTCGTCAAATGTTCCTACATGCGGGAGTTTTGGTTCAAGTTCCTCAGGTTGCGAGCGATGGCTTCACTAACACCATCAAGCCACACGGTCAGACAATGGTGGTGCTACATGCCCAACAGAGTCCAGGGTCCGAGAGTGAGAGAGGCTGCTACTTGGGCTATTGTGGGGATGCGAAGGGTTTGGCTTGAGCGCAACACGTGTTTTCGACGAGAAGCCATCTCCAGTGATTCATGTGGTTAATCAAGCGATCGTTAAGATGTACTCCCTCCGTTCCGAATTACTTGTCTTGGATTTGTCTAGATACAGATGTATCTAGACTCATTTTATTGCTAGATACATCCGTATCTAGACAAATCTAAGACAAGTAATTCGGAACGGAGGGAGTACTAGCATACCCACATTCTCGTAATTGTCACACTTCACACTTATCTTAACGAAAACGACATGCAACTGAAGTTGCTTGTTCTTAAAAAGAAAGTTCTATCCTAGTTGCTGTTGTACCAACAGTGGTTGAAATTCTATGTAATATGACAACTTTCATGTGGTTAATATTTTCCCACATCATCTGCAAAGAAAACTACTCCCTCCGTCCATATTATGTGTCGCTGATTTAGTTCATAGTTGTACTAATCAGCGACACTTAAGATGGAACGGAGGGAGTAGAAGGGTAACAAATGCACACATTCCGCTGTAGCTTATGCTTATGGTTTTGAAAGCCGATATCATCAAATCCCTCTTATGATGTTGAGTTTCAGCAATACTGTAAATATGTTTTAACTAAGGCTTCTTCTCCTTAGTTTCATTGACAGATGTCTAATTCTAGATGGTTGTTTTGTGTTGTTTTTTCAGTCATACATGGACTCTGAGATTAGAGCTATCATGGCACAGTACATGCCACTGGACAGTCAAGGGGAGGTCCCAAATGATTCACACGAAGATCATCCACTTGCTCACTAACTGAACCTGTACAACTAACATAGGCAGAAATGTGGTTTGAACAGAGTTGAAATATACAGAATGCATACAAAGGTGAATGGCAGCATGATTTTAGAGTCTGACATGAATGTAAGACTCACGTACAAATTTATCTAGAGCACTTTCACCTTAGAGGTCATGGCAACTCCATCTCCGGTAATATTTACAGATTCTATAATGAGCAGACGTTCGCTCAGCTCGTCCCTGGAGCGACCCAACCACAACATGTGGGGTAGTTAGTTGCATACATGCATGTGATGATGCAAGCTAATTTCAACTTTTTTTAAACCAAAAAATGTTTTGTGTACCAAATCATATGCCCAATTCACAATGTGTTTAAGCTGTTGGCTTTGTATTGTCAAGGGCTTCGTAACTAGATTCCACTCGTGAATGCTTTTGCAACCTTTTTTGACCCTAAAGTTGCCGCCCCATGATAAATGAAGTTTCCATCGTGTTGGCATTATTACTATGTGGCAACTATGATATCAACACAATGGCAACTTAATTTATTATTGGCTGAGAACTTTTAAGATGGATTTTTTGTCGCCCCATGATAAAGAAATATGTCATTGTGTTTGTGTCAAAATTGCTGATGTTTTTTTTTATCAAAGTTGCCACATGGTAACTTTAATACCAATACCTTGAAAATTTTATTAACCATTTGGTGGCGAATTTGTAAGTTGATTTTTACCATTGAAACTTACGCATATGAGATTTAGTAATGATGCTCTTGTCGAGACAAAGCAGATCTTGAAGATGAATTGTATATTGAGCATGTCTTAAAACAGTTTGAAGTTTCAAAAATTGCATTTATTGAGCTGATGTTATTATATGCATGTTGTTGCACAAACACTTGTAGCGTGTGAATGATCATGCACTATTAGTGAATGCCATTTGTTGAGTTGTGATCCAAATTAATATTGAGGCTAACTTCTAATGGAGAATTCAGTTTCAACCTAGGTTTTTTTTTGAGGCAATCAACCTAGGTTACCATTGCTTACTCAAGAATAGCTAGACAGGCGACTCTGGTTCGATTGTTAGTACAAAGTTGAGTCATCTATTTTGGAACGGAACGAGTACTTGCTTATTTAAAGCTCTTAATGTTTTGCTTTCCTTGCGCTTATTACTCCTTACTAACAGTGGCAACTTGCACAAATTCAGGATTGCACGCCATGGATGTTTTCTTGTTGATTTATTGGCAGCAAGTGATCTTGTTTTACTACATTGTACAGCAACAAATGTCACCACGCATATGCATAACGGGGACTGCCTACAGCACATTAAGGCTTGCAAAACACGGGAGTTTGGTTTAGGGCAAGGGGCAAGGGAGGGCTTCGGTACAGCACAATTATACTAAGTTGGCCTTGGCAATAGCCCAGATTGTATACGATAACCGGGAAGTTGCATAACACGGCGATACTAATTTGGCTAGATGATGTTTTTGTTTAAGTTGATTTATTTTTGTTAGTCACATTTTTGTTGGCATCCGCAATAGTTGTAGTTACACACATAGTAGTTTTCAGTTGGATACGATCATTAGAAAGTTGCACAACACAACAATACTAAGATGGTTGGATGATGTCCTGCGCTCGCATTGCTTACTCAAGAATAGCTAGACGGGTGACGTTCTGAGCTCGACCAATTTTGGCCAAATTAGTATCTGGCTAATTTGCAATTCACACTCGTTATAGAACAATGTGTGCCGGCATGTTGCTTTGGATTTGTTTTCTGTTTTGACGCTTAATTAGACCAATGGTGACACACACATTAGTCCTTAATTTTGTCCTTCATTTTGGTAGTGTTTATCTTACTCTGACTATTGATTTGACTACAGTAACATTCATTGGGTTACATCGGACCAAGTAAGAAACTATTGAACTAAAAATGTTCTTTAGATGAAACTAATCTAATAGGGTTGTTTTGATAGTGATGTAATGCTGTGAAAAATTGAAGTTCTAAAGATTTTATGTCACTATTGGTATCCTTTTATGATGAATGTTTTTGCTTTGATCTATTTTTGTTAGTCATATTTTTAGTTGAAATCCGTAGTAGTTGTAGTTGTATACATATGAGTTCTCAATTGGATACGACCCTTAGAAAATTACAAAACACGACAATACTAATATGGTTAGATGATGTCTCGCGCCCGCATTGCTTATTAAAGTATAGCTAGAAGCGCGACGTTGTAAGCTCGACCAACTACTACTTGCAAAGTGAAAGTATGTCCACACGCACGACCATAAAGTTGCGCACTTTCATTGTCATAGTTGCACACGCGCGGCCGCGAAGATGCACATTCTCGTCAGCATTGTAGCTCACGCAGGCTGCGGGAGTTGCACACGGGCGACGACATCATTGCACACACATGATCATGAAGCTGCACAATCTCACCAGCATAGTAGCAGACGCATGACGATAGCTCGTCGGTATAGTCGCACACGTGTGGTGGCGGAGTTGCACACCCTCGCCCGCTTAGTTGCACATGGACGGCCATGGAGTTGCACACTGTCATCGGCATAAATGTCCACTTTCGTTGGCTGCGAGAGTTGTACACTCTCATCAACATAGTAGTTCACGCACAACTACGGAAGTTGCACACGCGAGATTGCATAGTGGAACACAGGACCATAGAACCGCACACTCTAGTTAGCGTAGTAGTTTATGCACGGCTATGGAATTGCACACCCCAGTAGGCATAGTCAAACATGCACAACCATGGAGTGGAAGACTCCTATCGGTACAGTCGCACACGCGCGATTGTGGAGGTGCACACACTCGTTGGCATAGTAGCTCATGCATGACTACTAGAGCTGTACACACGCAGTGGCATAGTCGCACACGCATGACAATGGAGTTGCACACTCTCGTCGGCGTAGTAGTCACGCACGATGAGGAGTTGCATAGTCCCGTCGGCATAGTCGCACACGCGTGACAGTGAAGTTGCACACTCTCGCTCGCATAGTCGCACACACAGAGCCACGTAGTTGCACATTCTCGACGGCATCAGTGTTCGACGGCATCAGTGTCCACTCTCATTGGCTACGGAGTTGCACACTATCGTCGGTACAGTCGCACACGCATGGCAACGGAGTTGTACAAGTGTGGTAGCATAATTGCACACACAGGACCACGGAGTTGCATCCTCATTGGCGTAGTAGTTCACACATGTCCATGGTGGTGCATACTCTTGTCGGCATAGTCGCACACGCGTGGTAGCGGAGTTGCACACTTATCCGTATGGTTGCACACACATGACTATAGAGTTGCACACCCTCGTCGGCGTAGTCGGATATGCGCGGCCACGAAGGTGCATACTCTCATTGACATAGCAGCTCACGCACGATTGTAGAAGTTGCACACGTGTGGCGGCATAGTCGCACACACATGACCATGGAGTTGCACACTCTCATCGACGTAGTAGCTCACATACGGGCGCAGAGTTGCATACTCTCGAGCACGTGAAAAAGTTGCACATCGACTGTCAGGTAGTTGCACATTAACTGCTAGGCAGTTGCATTTAATGAAAAGAAAATTGCAGGAAAAAAGTTTGTGAAAGCATACTCATTTGGGGTCTACTTTGAACAACACGTTATGGGGATTCCTATGGTGAAAATAGATCTTAATTCCGATGTTCGAACCAAAAGCTTATGGCATTTAAAAAAATGAAAACCCAAATTAAATGTGTTCATAAGTGTTTGCATGAGTGAAAACTACACGTCCACGAGTAGGTAGAAAATTGCACATCGACTATCATGTACTAGTTGCACATTGACTGCTAATAGTTGCACAAAACGGGATTTAAATTGCACAAAACATGCCTATGCGGGATCTAGTTTCGAAGAGCATCTGGCAAGGGTTCCAATGGTGAAGACGGATCTTAATTCTGACGATTGGTTTAAAAGATATCACTTTTTGAAAAATTTGAAAAACTGAATTTAATACACAACAAGACAATGATGGAATTGCATTTAATGCAGAAGGGCATGCATGGGTGGGTACTTGATTAGCGGGTTTTTATGCACGAGATTTGAGCACCTTCCTTTTTATGGACGAGGGGACCGATAAATTCCTTTTTAGTCGGCTGCTTGGGTGATCCTTCCTGGCGCCCACACGCCGACTAGACGCATCCTTTTCTTTTTTATGTTTGATTGAATCACTTATATGTGTATAACTAGGGAAACTGCTACCACTTACCAATGGATGCGTTTTTCTTTTCCATTAGGCATGCATGGCCCATGCAATTGGAATCGGTGCGGATGCATGCGTCCCCAAAATTACTAACCGAGTAGTCCTTCCAAAGATCAATTTTCACCTTTCAAGGTTGCGACAAGTGGCACGTTGTATGTGCGCCACTTGTTGCAACCTGAGATTTTTCCTTTTTCCGTAGAACGGTTTATTGAAAATATTTTATCTCTTAAACCATGCGTTCAAATTTCAAACCATTTTCATTGTTGGATTTCTCGCGTCAAGATTTTTGAAACTAGATCCTATGTTAATAGGTTTTGACGAACTATTTTTTCCCACGAAAAAACCGGACGAAAAAACTGTGCCTCTCGCAGATGGAAAATGAATAGAAAACATGACTTTTTTTTCTGTTTTCGTGCCTCTCGCGAAAGCAAAACCGTGCCTCTCCGAAAAAAAGAGAAAACGCGCAATTTTCGTTTGGGAGGGGCACGACCGTGCCTCTCGCAGAAGCAAAATCGTGCCTCTCACGGAAGATTTTTTTTTTCGTTTCCAAGAGGCGCACCGTGCCTTTCGCAGAACAAAACCGTGCTTCTCACAGAAGGAAAAAAAAGACAAAACATGTTTTTAAATCCGTGTCTCTCACGAAAGAAAAAAGCATTTTTTGTGTAAAAATAAAAATAAATCAATTTTTTGTCAAAAAACTAAAAGAGACGGGTGGAAAATTGAGAAGTTGAAAACCCCTAAAAAATCGTTGAAAATTTTGAAAACACGCGTGGAAAAAAATAAAAAGATAAAAT